TACTTCTGTCTTAATTCAATTCATAATCCATTCTACGACTATCAATTCAACAATACTTCCATAATCTTATCCATTCATCTCCCACTTACTCTCTTTGTGGTATATATATATTCAATTATTGATCTCCAGCTTACCTATTGTATTCAGTTTCTCAATTCATCATACAAAATTTAATATCTTGACTTATAAATCTCACAATCTGGCTTTTGGCTTACAACTCTCACAGTCTGGTTTCAATCTTTCTTTTCTCAACCTATTTATCCTACCAAAAAGATGATCTGTCGGCCAACGGATTCCAAAGGTTATGACTCTTTGAATTCTTAACCATTTGTTCCACTAACAACGTACTGTTATCAACTAAATTGCCTAACCATAAGTCTAATTCTCAAGGTTGTCAATAACCAACCAATAACTTACCACAAAGTTTATTTATCTATTCTACACCCTCATATTTTTAATAATAGTATATATATCTTTTAATTTTGCCATAATATCAAATCTATTTCTATGTCATAATTTATTACAAAGTTTCCTATTTTACATTAAAATGGGATCTAAGCCACATGTTGTGTGGCTCTTTTTTATTCTATTTGTTCGTTTTTGCACTTGTCTCTTCAACATTATGTTATAACTTCTATTCTCTATGACAATCCTTGCTACTACCACCATCGTACTTACATTGTAATTTTTATTACAATCTTTTTATTATAAGCCTTTAATTACAAATAATAAAAAAATATCTAAATATTTGGCTATAGCATTAGATTTCCACATTATTTTGTGGAATAATTCTCTATTTGAAAATACACCATGTATTTAGGTGTATAGAGTTTAATTTTAACTTATTGAACAAGTTTCAATAAGTAATGTATTCTTATTATAGAAGCCAAAGAAATATAATAGAATTTAAAGATATTTTATTAATAAAATCCTTCTATATTTAAGAAGTTTTATACATAATATTTTTAAAAGATTTAAAAATATCCTAACATTCTTTGGTATACCAAATCATAACTAATTATTTGTCGATAAGTTTGATTTTTCATAAGCTTAAAGAAAATCCATAATCCTCTTATAAATATCCATCTTTATATCATAATTTTGCCATAGCTCTATATTTCCATCTTTAACATATATTTTAAATCTTGGCTCTCAAAAATCCCTTTACTTTGCATAAAATACCAAAATTATAGCAAAAACCCTTCAAAATATTTTTCTTGAGCAAAGGATTTTTTTTCTCCAAAATTTAGAAATTCATAACTCTTGATTCAAATATTTAGTTTTTTTCAAATTTCTAAAAAATATAGGCTATATCCTTAAGCTTTACCAAAAAAGAAAAAAAAAAAAAAAAAAAAAAAAAAAAAAAAACCCATAATTCTACTTTACATTATGTGGTATCTTAGAAATCCTAACAAGTCCTTTAAATCCTAATTTATAACCACCTAAACACTATTTTATCCATATCTTAAAAATTCAAACTTCAAATACCACAAAATTTATGTATAAAGTTCATTAATATAATAACATACATTCTTAGAAAATTTTAGCTAAAATCTTATCGAATTGCTCAAGATATGATTCAAAATACAACCACTAGTAAATCGGGTCACTTATTGCCCTTAGATTGCAAGTGCTGACTTCAACTTCATATAATTCCTTCTTCCTAGCTTAGAATTCATCAAGCAGTATTCAAAAAGTGTAGCAAAAAAAAATTCTCTTCAAACTCAGTTGCTGATCTTTCATTGCTTTTCAAATGTACACGTTATGTCCAAAAGAATGACAGTAGGTACAAAACCCACATCCTAACTTTGAGAGCCTATATCTTTCTCATAAAAATTCCAAATCATCCAAAATTTATACTAAAACCTTAGCCAAAATCTTAAATTTTTTGATTCGAGCCTCTCAAGTTCCAATGACCTCAAAAATGTATCCCTAATCCCTAATAAGGTCTTGAACAACCTCCTCGAAGCCAATAGCAATAGAGATTTTTATCATCCATCTCCATTCATCCATATGGATGTCCTAACTATTCTTTTGGGTACCAAAACCTCTCTCCAATCCTTTTTTTTATAAGATTTATATAATATATGTCCTAAACACCAAATAAAAGAAACAAAATATGATTTCAAGAGTCACCAATGTCTAATAAAGGTGGCTCTTAATATAAAAAACTATCATCAATATAAAATCAACCTCAATAATAGCCCTTTTAAACTAACCATTTCAAAGTAGTAATTTAACTATATTTTGTGATTAACTAAAATCTAATAATATGGCTCTTATTACATTATATAATAAATTATATATTGAATATTTATGTACAATATTTTTACATAGTAGCTCAACCACAACACGACAGCATAAAGAACAAAAAAAAAAATGCATGTATAATAAAGAAAAACTTTAACATGCAATATATATCTGATAGGTTGGTAGTATCAAAATTGATAGAAAAGAAAGACCAAGACTTAATAGTACATAAGCTTATAAACAAGATTTATTTTTTGCCACTTCAATGGCATATTACAAGTAGTTGTTTAAATCAATTCTAGTCTCATTTTTCAAACCTTTATTGCCTTTTAAGATATCTTTCTTAGTGGGATCTTCATTTGTAAGATTCACATTATACTTATCTCACAAACTTAAAATAAGATTGTATTTTAGGTAAGAATAGAAAATTTAATAATATCTAATTTCATAATACTACTATTCAAAGTATCATTTTATTCTTTTGTTGCAAATTATGTAGATAATCTAAACAAAATGGCTTTGTAAATCAATATGGAATAATTGGCTTGTATATATTGTTTATTAATGAAACATAAATATTTTTATTTACTTGTATTATTATCTTACTATAGAAAGATGTTACTTGTAGTTTGTGATTTTTTAAATTTGGTAATTGGTACTTAACTTCAGCATCCTAAGAATTATAAATAATTTTTAGTACTATTCTTATTCATTTAATATGGCAATAGTCTTTATAGTACTATGATAAAAAAATATCAAGTAAATTATTTTTTTGCAATATAATCATAGATATTAGCAATAATTACTAAAAAAAATTCAATTTTAATAGATAAAAAAAATTTTGAATAAAAAATAATGGATATAAAAAATTAAAAAAAATATCGTAATAACATTCTATATTATTTGATCTATAATTTTGTATTTGATTAAGCTACGATCTATTCTTGTAATTTATAACAATGATATATATATATATATATATATATATATATATATATTTAAATAAAATAACTAAAAAAAAGTTTTTTTTTGAAGGTTTTAGCATAATAAAGCTCTTATATAGTCTAAAAGCAAGCATTGTCAATCAATGACTAAAATATCATTTCATAGCTTCTCTAAAAACTATCTTTTTCAAATTTTTCTTATTGTTGATTGAAAAGAGAAACACCTTAACCTACACCTTGCTGCTACCATTACAATGCTTGCACCATGATCCTCACCATTGTCTTGTGATAATATAACTATATGATAAAAAATAAAAATATGGATGTTATTAGAAAAGAGCCTAGTGAAAAGTTGTAGTAAAAAATCAATGATAAATTATAGAAAGGTAGTAAATTTTTTTGTCTTAATACTGTTTTTTTATAGAAAGGACTTCTATTTACTATGTAGAGGCTTAAACGAGCCAAATTAAAATAAAAAAGATAAAAAAATTGATATAAATATGTTTTAAAAAGAATTTAAAATATATTAAAGCAAAACTTATCTCAAATTATCAAAAATTGATATCTAAAGAGGACCAATTGTTAACCTAGATTCAAATTAGATTCCAAGGTATAAAATTGTGCACCTGTGGTAATTTTAAGGTTCTTTTATAAATTAGAAAATAGGATTTGAAATTAAAATTTATAAGAGATTTTTAAGTGTTAATTTCATATCATTTGGATTGATATTGGATTTTGAGAAATTTTCAAATTAATAATATATTTAGTAGGTTTAGATTTTGAGAAAATAAAATATGTTTACAAATTTGAGATTTTCTTAAGTTTTATAGTGTGTATACAAGAAAAATTTGGCAATTTATTTTTGTATTTTTTGTGAATATGTGTAAAAAATTTGAGGTCAATTAAGTACTTAGATTGAAGTATATGAGGGTTTTTATGGGTTGTGATCTTAGAAATTTGAGATTTAGGATCTATGAGTGATTTTGAGTCCTAGCAATATCTGCTAGTTGAATTGAAACAATATTTGGTGAAAATAATTAAGACTTTAATATCTATACATAATCCAATTTTTGAAGTAATTGAATGGTTCACTAAGGAAAAATTAGTATTGAAAGATCAACATTTATGTTGGAGAAGGAGGGTGGCCAATGACCAAGAGGTTTTGGGAGCTTTGCTTGTTATTGGTATGTGTGATCTTCTTCAATTTTTTTGTGTTTATTGCTTACTTGGTTGTTGCAAGATATGCAGATTTTGAGTCTAAATCAATTATTCAATCATTAGTTAATAAATTTTTAATCTGTTGTAGGATTATTAAGATTTGTTTAATATTTAGAAATTGATAAAAAAATTGATTAGAATTAATTTAAGATCTCAGATTTGATTAGGATTTTGTTAGGATTTGATTTTGGGCTTAATTAAAATTTACAATTTGTCTAAGATTTGGTTAAGATTTAAGATTTGTTTAAGTTTGATTAAGATTTGATTAGGATTTGATTAAGATTTAATTAGGATTTGATTAGGATTTGTTTAGGGTTTTTTTTAGATTTTAACTAGGATTTGGTTAGTATTTAAGTGGATTTGATTAAGGTTTGTGTGAATTCTATAATTGAATTACATGTGGGTTTAAATGCAAAAAATGCACTTATGATCCTTAAAGCCATTAGTTAGGGAGGTAATAGAAACTTTTTGAGATAAATAGCAATTAATTGGATGTAGTGGCTAGAATAGGTCTTTTTCAAATAGGAATCCGGCATCCTCTTTGCCAATAGGGATTTGGACCACCCTAGACCCGGTCTCTCTTCTCTTGTAGTTTATTTTATTTTTCCTCTCTCACGTCTTCATGAGCTCCCGGCGCTCCGGGGATTGTTTTTCCATTTCCTTCATGCTGTGGGGATACTGCGGTGCAATATTTTTCCTCTTCTTGTTTTGTTTTTTGCTTGGTTGGTGTGTTGCGGTGCAACACTGCTTTGCCTTCTTGTTCTTGGTTTACCTGATCTTCTTGGGTTCTTGGGTTTTCTTGATCTTCATCAAGTGGCATTCTAGAGTTAATTTTTTTGTGTTCGGGCCTGCGAAGTGTAGATGCGGTCAGCTTGTTTCATAGAGGCACTGATCGTCATCGAGTACGTGGAGTGTGGCTCACCTTTCGCGGTTCAATTTGTCGTCAACTACAACAGTTGGGCGGAGAGAGGCCACATTCCGTTTTGTTCCTGTTGTTATTATTTTTTTTATTCCTCCGAGGTACCGAGGGGTGCAACGGCGCCTTCATCTTAGTTGTTGTGGTGACGGCGGCATTGTTGCTGGGATCCAGTGCAACAACAATCTATTGGAGCGGAGCTAGGATTTGGGATTGGTTGTTCTCTTGGCATTGCTAGCACATTGTTCGTGGAAAAGGACCAAGTGACACTAGCTTCAAAGGTGGCAGCATTGCGGTGGTTTTTTATTCTTTTTGGTCGTCTCTTCAATTCAAAGCTTCGCAATTTCAGAGCTCCAGATTCAATGTGGCAGTGCCGCGGTTGATAAATTCTCCTCTATGTATTATGCTGAGCTTTGATTGTTACGGTGTCCCTAGTGTATGTCCCTAGGATGTGTCGCTGCAATTGCTTTTGTTTTGTAGATTGTTGATGTTTTTTTCTTTTGATTCTGTTGTCGTTTGATACCTGATCTTAGTGTGTAAAATGTCGGTGGTTGTGTTCTTGTTTTGGAGCTGCATCAAAGGGGGTTGTATTGCTGTCGACCTCGTAGTGAGGTAGATGCGGAGTTGGTGGTTTGCAAAGCAGCAGGGATCCATTTCGGCACTAGTTCTTGTCTTCATATCCTTGTTCTACTTCAACGGCACCAGGGTTAGTTACCTAGTACACCTGTTCTCTCATTTTTATTTTTTATTTTTTATTTTTTTTCTTCTATTGTCCCTCTTCGGTGAAGGGAGGCAGTGTAGGCTGGCGGTAGTACTTTCTTGTTGCAAGCTGGTGTTCCGATGAAAAGTTGGCCACGGCGTGGAGTAGCTACTAGATTTCATTGTAGGGTGCCAATGGGCATTTATGTATTTTTTGTATGAGTACCTCCTTCTGTTATTAGAGCTTGGCAGCTTGAAAAGTCTGCGGTCAATTCCTTCTCTCTTCCCGTCTTTGTTCGCGTATCAGAGTAGCTCTCGTTTTGTTTTGTTTGATCTGATCTTTTTGCAGTCCGTATTTTGCGGTGGCACTGCTAGAGCAGCATTGAGAAGGCATCATGGTGCAGAGCTGTGGAGGGAAGAGGGCATCTAGGCGCTTGTGCATATTTGTGCGTATTGGGTGATTGCGCATCTAATTCGGTGGATTTGAATTTTTTTTCCCTTGCCGGACGTAATTGGTATCCTGAACGTGGTTGAGTGCGGAGTTCTGGCCTAGTACAGTTGGAAGAATGTCGAATCGGTTGCGCAATATAACCTATTGAGGATCGTAGGAGCGACAAGCTACCGTCCTTGCCGTCGTTTCTTTGAGAAGAAATGTTTAGCAAATCTAAGGGTGATGATGTGGACCAATTCCATTTATTATTGAGATCACCAAGGCCAGTATAGAGAGGGCAATCGTAGCGTATCAATGCAATTGTATTGATTAAATAAAAGAAGAGCTTAGAAGAAGAGATTGAGAATCCCCCTGATAACAGATTAGAGTTGCGCCATGCCAACAAGTTCACTATTGTGGAGGTGTGGAAAATCCCCAACTTATTGCAGGAACTAGTCGCAAGCCACACCATCGACCCTCTCTGTAAGTACTCAAGCAATTAGGTAGATGAATTAGACTACATGAAGTTAGGTTAATCGGATAAATTAGAATTAGGGTTGAATTAGGTTAGTTGGATGAACCATCAAAATTGAATAAATATTTTTTAAAATTGGATGAATTATTATTGAATGAATTTTAATGAAGTGGATGAAATTTTATTTGTAGATGAGAAGTTATTCATGGATGGAAACTTATCTTAGGTGAATTTAAAATTTTGGGTGAAAATTAATACTAAGAAAAAATTAAAATATAAGATAAAAATGAATAAAATAAAAATTACATAGACTTAAATTAAATTGTATGAAAAATTATCTTCTAAGTGTGTGTTTTTGTTCAATTATTTGAGTGCCTTGTGTAACTTTGTGATGTATGAAAGTAGTTGAAGGTGAATTTAATTGGTAGAGTATTAGAAAGCTAAAATAAAATAGAAGACAATTTAATCAATTTCATTGTAGGCTAATTAATATTGGTGAATTTGAATAGATTACATTTTAGAAGGAATTATGTCAATCACCATTGAGATTTTTATTAGAATTTTTGGATCTTAATCAAGTAGAAATAAGAACTTGATGGATAATTTAGGTAATTAAAATCATTGAATATTTCTAATATTTTTTTAAAAATTATTATTATTTCTTTAAAGATTTATTTTTATATTTCTATAAAATTTCTCTATTATTTTTTTTTGAAATTAATTTAGGATTTCTTTGTGTTTCTTTGATAACTTTTAAATTTATTTTGGATTGATTAAAGTTTTATTAGAATAATTAAAGATTATTTAAAGTTTATTTAAGATTCTATTAGACTAAGTAGGATTTTTATTGCATTTTTACTTATCTTTCACAACTAGTTGCATGATGCACTTTCAAGCAAAAATACATGTAATTCAATATCGCAAGCTTACTAAATCCTTGCTACTATTACTACCATATTCACAAGTCTTCAACATGGTATCATTACTACTATACTTGTAAGCTTTGTACATGATATCATCACTACTATGCTTGCAAGCCTTGTATATAATGCCATCATGACCATGCTCATGAGCCTTGTATATAAAACCATCACTACCACACTTGTAAGTCTTGTATATAATGCCATCACTACCATGACACTATCTCTACATTTTACAATGGTGCTTTAAATTATGATAATTTTAAATTGTAGCTCGATCTCTTGATTTTGCTTCTATAGAATGAAGTCCTTTTCTTCTCAACATCTTTGCATTTAGTGTTAGATTCTTTTCTTTGCCCTTCTATAACAACTTACATGATTGCCACAGTTTTTTCATGTATGTTGTTTATTGTGCTTTTGATTGCTCAAGAAGCTCCTCAGTGGTGTTCAAAGAAACCAGGTATTAAATGGTTTGGTTAGTCTTTTGCTTCTATACCCAATTCTAATGGACAATTTGCGTGTCAATATTACTATAAGCCTCCACCAAAGTTTCTTCTTGCTTTGCCCTGCTTAGGCATACTTCACTATTTTTGGATTCTAATAGTTATGCTCACACTTAAATCTTTCACAAAAGATTATGGTTAGTTGATGGTAAAAAATAGAAGCAAGTTACTATAACTTTCTAGCTTTTTGCTACTACTCTTTGTGCCTTTTTTATACAAATTCTTTGTACAAATTGATTAACTGGGTCCTCTTTGGTCATTATATCCAAAAGAAAGTTACTTCAATAGAGTCGATTAAAATAATAAACAAGAGCCTTGTGGTATAAGAATCCTTTTCAATATCAATTGCAAGTGCTTTCTCTATTCCACTATCTTCCTGCTCTTGTGAAAATTTATTATAAATCATTAATTGACATAGTCTCTCAAGTGCTTTTTAAAAATATATTTCTAGAGTATTATAAAATTTTAAAAAATAGAATAAAAAAATCTTGTAATAATGATATCAAAAGAATCATATGTTTATTGGTCCAAATATAATTTGATAAACTTACACATCTCAATAGAAGATGATTCTATTGCAATTGAGTGGCATATATATATGTATAGATTATGATGTCAAGCAAGGTAATGATCTATTTTAATTTTAATTCTTCATAATTCTATTTAGAATTAATGAACCTAATCCTCTTCTTCTTCCCTCTTCTCTACTATAGTATTAGTATCATTTGTTTTTGGTATGTCAATCCTTGCTACTATCAATTTAAGCATATATAAGTTTTGGTACCAAGGCATGACAAAATTGCTACTTCTCTCTAGAATAAATAGCAAATACTTATGCACACAATGCTTTATCACATATTACTTTCTAGAGATGAGCTTTTTACTTCATAGAATTTTTTTCATATTACTTTAGTTTCTAGAATATTTACTATTCTTTTCAAGAATCATAAGAAGAAATAATTATATTTTAAACATTTTCTAAAATGATATTTGGTCCTAGCAGTTATACAATCAAATTATTCTACATTAATTTGTAAAATCTGAGATTTCATTGTTGATGGCCATAATTCATATCTACTGATCATAACTTAGTTTCCTTGTATAAATCAAGTATTTCTTAAATAAATTATTATTGGAGCAATGCATTGTAGTATGAAACAAAAAATAAAATGACTATGCTGCAAGAACCATATGTCTTAAGAATCTTTTGAAGAAGAATCATATTTCAAAATCATAAATTTTCTTATTGTGGATATTTTTTTAATAATAATAAAAAATAAATAAAAAATAAAAATTCTCAAAGTATAATTAATTATCATTATAAAATATCTATCATCAAGTTTAGCTAAATAAAATATACTATGAAGTCTCACAACAATACTTTTAAATAGAAACTATATACATTACAATCTCTATTAGCAAATACAAGTGAATTTGTTATATGAAAATTTATCTTTAAACATACATACATTGGTATTGAATACTTGGACAATTGACATGCAAGTGCTAATTGGATAGCAAGTAATGTAAGGAACAAGTTGCACAATACACCTCAATATAGAACTATAGATATTTAAAAAGATATTTGTTGAAATGAAACTGTTTTAATATCCTACTTAATGGCATAGTTTGGAAAAGAAAAAGTTATTTCTAAGCTAGTTGGCTCCTATGAAGACACCTATATCAACTTGAAAGCATTTCGTCACCAAATTAAAACAATAAATTTCAAAAGTTTTATAAAATTAAAAATTGATGAAAAAAAAATACTTCTTCAAATATTTGTCACCTATAATGTAAGTTTATATGGCTTGCAATATTGTTGATTTATTGTTATTATAGACAAAATTTATTTGAAAAGAAAATACTATTGAATATTCTTTCTTGTTATAACAATTGATGTTGAGGAGCAACTATTTTCTATTGCATTCAACATTATGAGTACTAAAAATGACAACAATTGGATGTAGTTCTTGCAGAAGTTGAAGACAATAATTTTTATATCTTATCTATTGAATTCTCAACTTCCAAAATTTACATTTTTATTTGATCAATAATAAAGTTTGATTGATTTTTTCAATCATATCTTTCGAACATATAAATATATATTTTGCATACACCATTTAACAGAGAACTTACAATAATAATTTTAAAATTATATGCTTCTACAATATCTTTAGGGATCAATATAGGCATTGACAAGGGCTTACATATTTATTCTAATAATTTGTTATACAGTTAGGTAGAAACAGGTAGAAATATATCAATTTCATAATATCTTTCAAAGAAGCTTCTTAAAAGAATTGTAGACATAATTTTCACTTTATGCATGTTTATGGTTAATTCATAGATTAGAAACTTGATCAATAATTTATCATATGGCACACGTATTGGTAGCTTATAGAATAAGCCAAGTATATGGTACATGTATAGAAAACTTAACTTGCAAGTTAAAATATGTATCTTGTAAAATCAATACATATTGGAAATTCTATATAATATTGTCACATAGCTCTTCATCAGATAGTATACATGGAAGCAAGGAAAAAGGCTTATTTACTCTTATCAATGCCTTTTTAGTCTTTAGTCTTATTTCAAGATTTTTTAGTTTTCTTGTCTTTGGCAATATCAATTTTAGTTCAATATATTACCATCTTTAAATAATTTTTTAATCTTTTTGAAGACACAAGATTGTATTGAGATTTTATTTTTTTAAGATTCATGTCCTTGAAAGTTTGACAAGAATATTAAGTTATTATTCTTGTTTTGTCTTAGAAGTGAATGAATTACCTCAATTCTATTATTATCTTTTGAAGGTTGTTGACTACCTACTTTTAAACACATTATTTAGTTCTTTAATAATAATTTTTTTCTTACAAAGAGAAGATTACCTCTTTTTGTAGAAATTTTTATTTGACATAAGTAGTTGCAGATTATTTTCTTCTGATTTAACTTATGGATTTACTAAGTTGTTTGAAATGGAAGGAAAAATCATGGATGCTGTACTTGGTAGAAGTGATAATAGATTTGTAACTATTACTAATCTTCAAAAACTTGTCAACACTCTTAGAGTAAAAATTTCAGGCCTGACAAGTGCCAACCATAGAAATATTAATCCTACACTTATAGAAGAAGTTTAGAGTCTATGTCAAGAAGTTGTGCAATTGAAGGAAGTAAGTAAATTAACCTCATAATTAAATTTAGAAAGTTTTATTTTTACAAGTACAATAGGAACAAGGATTAGTATACTCAAGAAGTTTCATGGAAAAAAATCAAAATTTTGAGGATTTTTGTAACAAATCAAGTTCTATCTAAGATTGAATCCCTTCCAATATGATAATGGATTTACTTAGATTGGATTAATAAAGGCACTTTTATTTGGAAGTTCTTTTTTTTAATTTTTAACTTTAATATAAAAAGATTTATGACTCATTTATGATTTGAATTCATTTCTAGAAGTATTTGATGCTGCAATCAAAGAAAGTAATCAAGAAAGAGTAATAGAGATTAAGGTTTAATTTTTTTACAATAAAGATCATAGTCATCTACTATATATTCTACTAAATTTCAAAACTTCACTTGCAATATGGATTAAAATGATAAAGCTCTTATCAATCAATTTTAATATGGATTAAAAGATAACATCTATGATTTATTATTAATAATACAAAAAGTAGATACTTTTGAATAATTTATTATTTAAGCCATTGCATGCAATAATCAATTATTTAAAAA